TGATCACATGCATATGATGGGCTTATTTTTCATAGTAAAATGCAACGGTAGGCTTTTTTCGAGTGCAGTTCTCAGGGTTTCTTAAAAGAAACCATGTTCACGAGACAAAGTACAATAGTTTATCAACATAAGTACTTTCTTATTTTTATATTTAAAGCGATATAGGTAATAGATCTAAAAAGAATGCGGCCCTTAAAGTTGGATTTTCATTTCATTCTTTACTCATAGTATTCACTTTCTATTTCGTTTTTAAACTTACCAAGCCCACCTGAAAATTACAAAATACTAGAACGTTTAGAAAAGGTTACAAGATACTATTACAAGGTACTAATTTTAGTTCTAAGTAAATCTTGTCAGGGTTTAAAAATCTTACAATTAGAAAAAAATTTTAAATTATTTGAACTAAAATTACTATTGACACAGTAATTTACAGTAAAATCTAATGCATTAAAACTATTACTAAACTAATTAATTAAAATTCGAACAGGTTAAATCAGACTTTACTACGGACGAAACTAGCTTTGTATCCTTAGAAAAGAATTTACATATAAGAAAGCATCGGGTCGGGTCGGGTTATTACAGATTACAGAATTAGAACTAAGATACAGTTTGCAACTCATGAAAAAAATTGTAAATTTATTTTTTAAATAAACAACCATAAATACAGTACATAGCCAACACGAATATAATGTAATTAATAGTTGTTCTAACGCCCTATTTAATAAACCTATAAAAATATATAGAGAGAGACACGGATTAGATTACTCTAACTAAATATAAAATTCGTATTTTACATCCAAGAATCTTGGATAAAAAAATATTATATATTATTATAAGAACCACTTCGATTCATTGCGTCGATTTTGATCGTTCAAAGCTGTATTAAGAAAACTACCCTAAATTAAAAAAATATTGAAAGTATATCGCTATTCAATATTTTACTCCCAACTAGAATTGTTAGACGAGCCATTTTTTCATACGTATCAAAATCAAAACTACCCGATTGATATCTAAAATTTCTTAAGGTTCGTCTATTCACAACTAATTAAATAAACCAATTAAACTTAAATAACTTATCTTAAATAAAACTAATTAAAAAAAATAACACGAACGTAAGTATTGGCTAGCTTAAATATATTAGTTTCGTCGAATTAATTGGTGATTTACCTATTACTTTAAACCAGTTTTCCTTAATTTTCCTCATTAAGGGGTTTCAAAGATAAAATGTGGAAACATTATAAAGGAGGTGTTTATAGAGGTGTGGGACTGTATATCCAAAACTTAGAAAACCTATAAAGTACAAGAGGGTTGGCTATCAAAAAGAAATTCTACCACCTCGAATATCAGATATGAATTGCACTTGATTGACCTGATTGCAAATCGCTGTGGCTGATTACTACGCCAAAAACCTGGCACATGCTTTGCGTCAATCATTTTGTCGATTGGGTAATCATCAGATATCTGATTTTAGACGTATTTTATTTCGAAAACCCCTATTTCTTTAAGGCATATACATATTACATAATCGCTTGTCGGTAGAATTTATCAATTTTAGCACCGGGTATGCTTATTTAGGTTCTACCACAAAATCCCGAAAACTGTTTTCCCGAAAGAACATAATACCGACTAAATTGGCCAGCATTATAACTAATGCCGGCTAACTTTGTCGGTATTAGGTCCTTTCGGGAATCTGTCTTTCGGGATTTTGTGGTAAAGCCGCTTATTTAATTTTCTGATTCGGAGTTTTAGAACAGGAAATAGGACTTTTTAATTTCCACCTATTTTCGAAATAATTAATTTAAAAACCCCCTAATAATGTGTATCAAAACTTGCTTTAAGTTTATAAAAAAAAACGAAGATAAAGTTTGTTAAATCTTCATATTATCTTTATATTTCACAAAAGATAAAATCAAGCACATTTAAATTGCTTTAATATAATCTTTTTATTGTATCCGTTAAAAATTCTTTACTATTTAAATAATTTATTTTTATTTTCGTAAGGAAAAATTTCCTTAATTCTTATGTAATATTTAACGTAATATTATTATCATAATCATAAAATTATATATTATTAATTAGAATTATAAAGCTCGTTAAAAAGTTATTTAAAATTTTTTTTTCACTAAATAAAATATGTATGTAAATCTTTTAATGTTTTTTTTTTTCTAAGTATCCTATAAAAATAAGTATTTTTAAACCTATATAAAATTCTTTATATTTTTGATTTAATTTATTTATTTATTTATTTATTATTTATTTATTTATTATTTATTATTTATTTATTTATTTGTATTTATTTTTTATTTTAAAGTTTATTAATTTATATTTTACTTTAAATTTTATTTAATTTATATATTTATTTTATAAGCAACTTTCTTTAATTTATTTGTTTTCTTTATGAATCGAACCGACTAAAAAATTTTAACATTTAATCGTTTAACTACCTAACAGTTTATCTAGCTTTAATTAACGACGATATTAATACAAAAATGATGAATTAACGATATAAGTAATATATCGTAGTGAAATATAATATAGAAAGGTTAATTGGAAATAGCGAATAAAAGAAATATATGAGAATTAGTTCACTTAATTGAGATAAAAAAGATTAAAATCATTAAAATTAAATGTGAACCTGAAATGTATAAAAATTATTTCAGTTCTGGAGGGAAAAAATAAGACTTCTGGCTATCATTTACAGTATCAGATTCAGCTAATGAAAATCTGATCAGTGATATGTGTGATATGTGATCATATTCGGTAAGGAATAATTGTATGTGTATGTATGAATAACCCAGTTACACACGGGTTCATATTCCGTGCCGAAGGCACGGGATTTAAATATGAACCTGTGTGTGTAACTGGGTTATTCATATACCCATATAATAACTATCTTACGTATTGCTCGGTGTCTGAGTAACAATCCCGTGCCAATAAGTAAATGAAAAAAGCACGGGTTGTCACATAAGACCTGTGCAATAATATTTTTTATTCAAGAAAACATTTATAAGAGTGCAATGTTGTATAAATTTTTTATTAGAAATTTAAATAATTTATTCAATTTACTTCTTTAATCTCACCAATAAAAATTTATATAAACCCTACTAAAAATTCATTTACACTCTTATTATAAACTCTAACTCTAAAACTACATCACAAAGTCGTTTTTATATAAAGTTACATAGAATTTTTATATAGAGTTATGTAAAATTTTATGTAGCTTTATAAACCCATTGTAGATTTTACATACAGTAGCTATTTATATATATAAATATATATATATGCCTATGTAGAATTATGTAAATTTCAAAAAAAATTACAGCTTAGATATTAAAGCTAGAAATAGATTTTAAAGCTTAAACTAGGGGTTTGGGGTGTGTTTTCTGGCCTGCTGAACATTTTTACTTAGTATATCGAACACTGATTACCTTAGTCATTTTTGAGAAACAGTCAAAGTAAATTAATTTATTTTTATATAGATATAAATATAATTTATATAATTTTTATATTTATATAAATAATAAATAAAATTTATATAAATATTATATTAAGTCATACATAAAAATTCTAACTATATAAGTCTACATTGGTTTGTAAATCTAAATAAAAATTTTATATAACATTTATATAACTTGATAGAGCTATGTAGATTTTATAAAAAATAACTTTGTGATGTAAAAAATAGAAATAAAAAATAATAAAATCGTGGTTTTAATTTCAGCATCATACGAGAAAATAAATAACCAACCAACATGCAAAATTATAGCGATGGTACTACTGCTACGTACACTAAATTAATGGACAGATATCACGTGGTCAGAACAGACGATTTTTCGTTACACATTCATGTGATAGTAAAATAAATTTCGTTAAGAAATTTAATATTTTTTGGATGATTATGATAAAAGTTTGGTTAGATTATAGGTGGAGTTTTAAGTGAGGAAAATTCAATACAAATGTTCGAACGTTAAATATTTAATGTAATTAAATATTTATACTTTACTGAAACAGCAAAAAACTTGAATGTAAAAAGAATATTGGTTTTTTTTTTTTAGAAAATAAAATCTTTTTTTTTTTAATATATATATATATATATTATGTGTATGGAAACAACGGTTTAAAATTCGATTAGTCCAGAATTTTAAAAAATAAGGTCGGTTTTTGGGCGTAACCAAATAAATATGATAAAATTGGTACGTGCTTTTAATGATAATTTATCAATAAATAAAGTATAAATATCTGATATACTGTATAAACTAAAATTTATATCGCATATCCCTGACAAGAGATGCAGATATATTTATGTAACATGGTGCAATATGGTGATAACTTATATTATCTAAATATAAAAAAAAATATGATAAACCGGTTTTTAATATAAATTATAATTAATGTTTATGCTTAATGACTATAACATTTTTACATTTCTAACGGTAATTATATCATTGTCTATTATCGAACGGTTTCTAAAATAGATTATTAACATTCACCAAAGAACAAATGCACACATTACCAATGGTGTAATGACTGTCAACTATAAACAATGAATTGGAACCACAACAAAACGCGTATTTGGAGAGGTGTCCATTTATGGAGGACAGTTTATTACATATAAACTCTATAAGGTTAGAAGTGAATCAGGATTTACATTTATGAAGATTTGCATAGAGCGTGCAATTAAGGAGAGTTCACTGTACTAATAAATTTGCAATACAAACAGAGCAAATTATTTATAGAATGCAAATATTTGTACTTAATCATACATTATTTATTCACATAGTATTTATTCTTACAGTAATTGGGTGTTTGTGATTATATAAGACAGGAACTTTATTTTAACATCAAAAAAATCTATGAAAACATATATGTAATAACATATGAAAAGGGTTTAAAATAAACATATAAATAATGATAAACTAATGACGTAAAGAAAAAAATACAACGCATATCCTTAATTTGAATTAGTTGATATTCACGTGACCCTAAACGCGAACGCGTAATTAAATCTTCACGTGTCTGTCAACAGACTGACAGAGAATTCTGTCATTAAAATAATTTAACTTACTTGGGTTAATATCTAACTGTTTGATATGTGGGATTCGAGGAAAAGAAACAAAGTTATGAGAATATGCAAAAGGGTACATGTGTGTTTGTTGAAGAGGTACAGGAATATAAGGATCACAACGAAAAGAATTCTGTACACGTTTTTTCCTGTTTGGTTTGTATTTGTAATCCGGCCACATGAATTTATGGACAGCTTTTGCAATCTTTGAAACTTTTTTATAGACACGCTTAATTTCAGTTTCATGTGTCCACATCTTAAAAGCGGTATTCGAAACTATCCTCATTCCAGATGCTTTGTCGTCGGGCGATGCCATATAAATTTGTAAATACTTTTTCAAGTATTTTCGAAAAATCAAACCGTTTGAAGTCATTCTTAGGTCCGTTTGAGATTTCATATTGGCCTGTAGATCCTTCCTGAATATCAAAAAACAATTTTGTGCTCTAGGTGGACCCGTGCGCTTGGGCTTTAAACTTGGAACAATTAAATCATGTAAGGAAAGAAAAGTCATAGATTCGATTTCCTTCCTTTCTTCTGACTTTACGATTTTTGAAATTATACTTTCAAGTTCTTCCGTGTTAGGAAAGTTTCGAACGGGACGAGATTGTGTGGATGAAGAAGTATAGCTTTGACGCGATAATTTTATAGCCATGATTTATAATTCGAAGTAAATGATCTAGAAAAATTATATCAAAACGCAAACACTTGACAAACAAAAAAAAAAAAAGGCGGGGTAAAAAAACCTTGCTTTATATAACTTGCACTCATTTCAGAAGATATGTCAGAGAAATGTATGATCATTCCCGAATACATAGTGATATGTGCTATTTTAGAATAATCATGAAGTACAAAATATCGATAGCTGTTGAATTGCGTAAGATGACAACACTGAGAACTTGATGGAAAAAAATTAATGTAAGCAAGTAACAAAATTAGAACAAATAGTAACTAAATTGAGTATAACATATAAATAAAACAGCAGATTAAATTAGCTAATTTAACAATTATAATTATGTCAATACAGTTCAAAAAAGAAACTTAAAATGCTAAATGTTCTTATCTCCAAGACACGTCTCACTTCATAAATACGGAACTTGATACATTAAATACTAACCGGTATTTTTCTTTAATAGTTTATATATAAAGCATCTATTAAATGGAATCATTATTAGATTAGCTCTGAATCCAACCCCCTTATTCACTGAAAAATGTTACTGCACCATTCATTCCAAGTCTTTTTTTAAAGGCCACACAAGAGCACTGATTAGTAAAAAAAATTGATAAAAATAATTTCAACAGTTAAATAAAAATAGAAATCTAACCAAAAACGCTAAGCAATCTAGCTAAAGGAACAAATATGACGGAACTGAAAGAATCATCGATAATACATATTAAATGCTAATCTCTATATGATTACACATTCTTATTGAATAAATTATTATCAATTAATTAAGAATATGTTATAATTTTAACAATGAACATCATATTGAAAAGCAATAAAGAAATATAAATGTTATAAATGTTATACGTATATGCTATAAACATCTGACCAAGAAATTGTTACGTGATACATTATTTAATGTTAAATACATGCATAAATCATTTTTAAACTTCTATATTGAATTTCCAATTCAAGTAAATCTTTTTTTTTTTACTTTATACTGAATTGCTACTTTAGGTAATAATATTAATCACCAGATTTATCCAATGTGGGTCGGACTCTAAAATTAGCAAATTAAGATTGAAAATTACCAGGCAAGGTTTTGCTAAACAAATAGTATTCCCAGAAGTATGGCCTTTTAACTTGCCTTGAATTCATAATGATAAAAAAAATTATGTACATACATAGATGTATTTAATTAAAGGTTAAAGTCAAGTTTAAAGGCCATTTTCTTAAAAATTGGCACCCGAATCCACCTTTACACATGATTCAACTAATCGTTCATGAAACACCTTGACATCTAAACATCTATTAATGACGATTTTTTCTACAGTTTAATATAGTTTTTATTTATTTGTTTGCAAATTTATTTCGTATATACACTAGAAGTAAGCCGTTTTTTTTTTTTTTTGATTGCTTGTAAGTGACGTGTTCGTTTATTACTTTCTACTTCACATAAGAGCAAGACCTTTCAACTTCGTGTAACGATTTATATGAAGCTAAAAATATCAGTCGGCCGAGATGCAGTACCATATTACACGAAAAATCACTTCAGATTAACAATGCGCTTCACGTTTTATCGCAATCTTAACTATAAAATTTTTAGAACAACGCGCTTGATTTGATACGTATAACTGTAATGTTTAATATTTTCATAATGATACATAAACATTTCATAACAATAGGAAGAATAACCACGCATTAGCTTCTTAGAAAAATGCCATTGTTTTCATTAACGGGAAGACTTAACTTTTTTTAACTAATAAAATATATATACAAATATAATATATATTTATTTACGTTTTACATTAAATTTTCTTTTTGGTTCCAGGTAACGAATTGTTTGTTCATCTGACTGTTTAATTAGACTATATAAAGTAATTCAAAACCAAAAATTTACAAAAAAAAATCCAACCAATTGGTAGCTGACCAAAATGTAGTCACGTATATACAAGATTGAATTAAAAATTAGGTTAATTGTATCCAAAATTGGTTATCGATCAACGGGATAAAGATTTTGTACTTCTTACACACTATGCTGAACTCTTATTCGATCATATCCGTTATATCTGCATCAATGATAACAACCAATACTGATTTGTTATTACTAATCATATAAATTTTCAGGTCATAATTGAACTGATTAAATGGATGCTTTTCCTCTTGCAAATTAATAACACTAATAGCATCGATAATGCATGTACAACGTAATTTTTTAAGTTCATCTACCCTAAATTGCATTAATTCATGTATGCACGTACGTACGTGTGTGATGGAATTAATATTGACATGTACATCTATTTAGGACTCTCGAGATATGAGGTAAATTAAAATAGAGTGAATTCGAAACATGAATCTGCGTAAATCACGACGATTCGATTCATGAGCTAATTATAGTTTTAATCCAAAAACATCAAACATCAATGATCTTGAATTGTTTTAACTACGTTTATCTAGCAGATAAATTTAGGAAACAATAATATTTTAGAAATTTTAACAATACTTTAATAGAAGGAATGATTTTGATTATTGTGCCGACTATATGCAAAAATGGTTTCGATAAAAATTTCACAAAACACATTAAATTATTCTGTAAATATGCATCATGATAGAATCTACATTCTTTGCTTGAATATTTATTGCTAATATTCTTATTTATCCTACTCCTAATTTCACTAAATGTGTTTTTCTTTTTTTTTTCACTGATTAACCAATAGTAAATAATTTAGAGAAAACTTTTTCATAAATGGAATAAAAAATATTTACGTAATCCTGAAAATGAAAGAAACGAATGAAAGACCTTTGTCGTATCTCAAGTAATATTTGTAAAAGATTTGTTTGCATTCATAAATTTCAATCCTTAACATTTGCTAAAAATTAGCATTTAACCATTTGAAAATAATATTATTATCGATAATTAAACGATGATTGGGAATTTAATTGCTCTTGATAATAATTGTGTCAATATTATAATTAATATTATCTGTAATAAAATAAATTCTTTACTTTTCATTATTGGAATGGAATATTCATAACTAATAATAGTAGAAAATATCAAAATACTAAGAACTTAATGTTATGAAAGATGTTAAGAGCACAACCGTAGTGGTTTAATTACAATAAATATCATACTTTTTAAACATCGCTATGGTTTAAAGAAACTATTAAAGAATTCCCACAGTAGTTATATTTTTTATTTAAAATGTGTATGAATGTGTGAAATTAGTTCCAATGATAAATGGAATTAATTTATTTGAGTGAACTGAATATAATGTGGTTACGACTTATAGTTGGATTTGAGAATATATAATCGTGTATTACACGTAGATCGATTTATTCATTAAAACAATCCTATTTTACACATCTATTTGTGTAAAGTATTTATCCCATAGATATTATGTAACAACCCCAACCCGCCCGTGCCTTTTTTTTGAACACCGATCTACAGAAATCACATGATTTCTCGCGAGGTTTTTAAAATTGTCATGTTTAAATAATAGGTTTAGGTTTTTAAAAATTGTAATGTGCCAAAGAGGATCTTTACTAGGTTTAAATTATTTAAAAGTTTAATTATAAAGGTATTTATTTATTAATTTAAATGAAAGAATATTTAATTATTTATACAAAAGAAAATTACATTTAATTAGTTATGGGATGCCAAAGAAATTTTTCGTCACGTTAACAGATCAATTTCTAGATTGTTCTGATCGACGTCATACGATCACGTTATAATCGACGTTTAGCCATTTTCTTTAGTATCACCTATTTTATTTCTATTTTTATATTGTAGTTTATCATTTCTTTATTTGTAATTTCTATACATATCAATTTCTATTCCCTTATATATTATTCATACTACAAGATCGAGGACGCGTGTTCCCAAGCATTCAATAATGACCATACAAATAACATTGTTGTCCTGATACAAGACAATTTAGCCTTTTTCCTCATTATTCAATTGTTGCATTACTGTTGGAAGAGATTCCGAAATTGGACAAGGAATCAGAGTCTAACAGCATTAACAAGGGTGAACAAAAAGCATTTACTTGCTATAAAAACTGCCTACTTGTCCTTTAAAAGGATTATTATAACTTTTATAATGAAGTGTATTGAGGAAGATGTGTTAAATATTTCAGGGACAAGTCTTAAAATAGTATAAAGAAATTTCATTGGTGTTAGAAGAAAAGAGTTTTTGTATTCTTATATTATTTGGCAGAAGAGAATTGTACCGTAAATTGAGTATTGTAATTAATTATATAAAACAATTATATATTTAAAGGCCCACTTTTGATCTCAATAAAGTTTTTTCAGACTTCGATTTGTTTAAATAAAACTTAAATACCTATAAGTTAGTAGGCATTTCAAAGCCAAAGGCAACTTATATTTATTTTGCATAATTAAATTCTCACACACTTCTTATTAACATTAAGTTAATGCTTATTGTTATTTTATTATTTTTATTAATTATCATCCTGCATACATCAATCGATCTGTTTAAGAATCGATTCACTGCTAATCTCTACATTGTTTAATTTACTAAATCCAGACTCATATCTGTACTTGCCATTTCTTAAATTCTATTATTCTTATCTCACATCATTTACTCCAAAACACCTCTAATTATATTCAACCGTACTAACTCGACATCCTTTCACAGTTGATTATTTCTAACTTGTATTATTTACTGTCCTGTTCTAAACCGGCATCCTCCCTGTTTTTAGCTCTCCCACTAATAGTAACAAGTAGTGCCAGTTGTGTGGACTTGGATAACATACTTCAGATCTATTGTATAAATAATTTTGAACAACACTTTAGAAACAATGCCGAACATGATTAACAATACTATATCTTTGGCAAAGGTTCTCAAGCAACTTGTTACCTTATAAAACATTACCTCGATAATTCTTGTACTATTTGCTTTAATCTCCAAGAAGTTCAGTCAGTTCAGTTCATCAACTTTTGGAAGTAGTTTAGTTTGGCATAGCTGGCTACTTCATATTTACAGATTTCTTTAATCTGCTTTGACATTTTTTACAATTTTCCCATAGGAGGATTTTTCGAAGCCTTACTAAGAAGATTTCTCTTCAGTTTTTGTTATTACAAACAACCCAATACTTATCCAACCTTATTAAACAAATTTCTAACTATCTATCAAAAAACTGACAAATTTTTAAAAAACCTATTTAGGACACTTATAATTATAGTAAAATCTCAGAAGATGAAGCTGCCTCTATTTTCAAACTTCTCGATGATATAGCTTAAAGAAACAACAACAACGCTTCCAATCCCAACAACCAGCCTAACTTTATAAACAACCTAGCTCAGCGGATTAGAGTGCTGGTTACTCAGATGTAGCAAATTTCTTCTCTACAAATTAACATCACACCTCTCCAAATCAACATTCCCCAAATAAACCTCTCTGTACAAAATCAAGAACTGACTTGATCTCTTACCCTGAATTTTTAGGAGGAGAACAAGATCCTATTACTTGGTTGGAGAATGTGGAAAAGATATTCAAGGCCAACCAAGTTTAGGACAATTGTAAGATCTCTGTTGTTATCCTAAGCTTAAGGGTGCTACTGCTACATGGTAGATTAGTATTAGGAATCAATCACAACTGGTTGATCAATGGAATAATAATCAAAATCAGAGCCAAAGCTTTAAATCTATATTTACTGCCCACTTTAGAACCCCTGTATTAGAAAGTAAATGGTTTGCCCAGCTGACCCAGCACAAGCAACTTCTTATCAAGGATGTAGACGCATACTACATAGCTATTAAAGAGCTTCTATAACAAGTAGAAACTAGTGAGCATCATTACCCAAATACTGCCAAGGCCCAGATGTTCATCAGTGGACTGAGACCTGATTTTGCCATCTCTGTGGCTTCCTTTTTGCCAGAAACTCTGGCTGCCACCTTTAAAAGTGCTAAGGCTTTTGAAAATATCTTTAAGCAAAACTTAGCCAACTTCAATACATCTCTTATTTCATCTTTCTACTTATCTCAATACATGCCTCTGCAAGCACAACCTCTCAATCTGAATTTAATGGAGGAAGCAATTACTAAACTGACAGAAGTGGTCAACAATATAATGAATCAGTTGAAGGAAGCCAAAGACTCTCTCAGGAAAAACTAGAATAATTGAAACAATAGGCCACGGGGCTCTTGTTCTCATTGTGGACAAAATAGATATTTTGCTAAGAATTGCTTTAACCCTCTCAGAAGGGATAACAGAAGAGACATTGCTTTAGAAACAACCTTCCAAACCAAAACAATAATCGTCAACCCAACACTAATTCCCAAAATGCTAAAACCCAAGAGGCTATACAGACTTTGTTAAATTTGCTTAACCCAACCTCACCAGAAAATGAAGCTCAAAACTTTTTAAATATTCATGAGGAAGCTCCCTATACAGGATTGGTGAAGAACTAGAGTGACATATCTGACTGACTAGGCTTAAGTGGCAGTGCACCCAAGAAGACCTTATTCAAAAGAACCTTCTTTTTAAAGCAGCCAGGTCTAGAATTGACAATGAAAGGACATGTGAAGCTGTTAAAGAAAAAAAAGATAAGGCTAAGCCCTCAGTTGTTCAAAGAAGGAAAACTGAAAATGAGCCCTCTCAGATTTCTACACTTGTTTTTTCCTATTTAATTGTTGCTAATATGAGGAACAAATCTGCCAACATTACTGTTGGACAATTATTAAAGGCTGTTTCCTCTATGTGGATAGAGTTATTAAAAAGTCTTCAAAAGAAAAAATTGTCTAAGAGGAAAAGTTGTACTTTTAGCAATTTACAACTAACCAACAAAGCTACCACTCTGTACTATGAGCTTCCGTTAATAGAATGGTCATTTCATTAATAGTTGACAGTAGCTCATTAAGAAGTATTATCACCACCTCTTTCTTTCAAGAAATAGGTATGAAGGTCGAATGGCTATCTATCATTAATATGATTAATATATATAGCCAAAGCCATAGAGCTATTGGAGAAATTTCTGATTTCTTATTTATAATAGAAGAAGTGAAAGTTCTTATCAATATAATAGTTACTGATACTATTTCGTACAAGGCTATCGTAGAAAACAATTGGCTCTTCAAAGTGAATGCCAAAATTAATTATACCTATAAAGCTATGAGTTTTATATTGAAGGACAAACAAGTCATCATTTCTATAGAATTTCGTAGACTCAAGCACAGCCCTCTTCAAGAAAGCTGCACTCCTAGAATCACTAAGTCAGAAAAAGCCTCAAAATTCGAGGAAGAGGAGACCAAGAGTAAATATAAAGAAGAAAAACCAGAAGACCAAATCTTCAGTTATTTTGAAGAAGATGAATCTTTAACCTTGGGCCTTTCTTTATTTTCTGAACCAGTTGAGTTTGATTTTGTCTCTCTAGAGAATTGGGGTCTCCTTAATTCTACCTATCATGATTTTGATCAAGATACTGATAACTTCTACTGTGACACCTTCTACTTATAACAAGGTGCTCATATAGCCTGGTGGAATTTGAATAGTAATGATGAATACCTGGAAGAAGATATTTCTGATTTCAATATTGACAAGCCAGACAAAGATCATGATTTTTTTTTTAAAGACATCGAGGAGCCTTCTTTCAAGTTAGATATCAGTCCACTTGACCCAGAAGACAACAATTTGTTGAACCAATTGTTGTTAGAATATGATACAACTTTTGCCTAGACTTCACAAGACTTAGGACATACTTGTTTAGTTATTCACAAAATTCACACTGGCGATGCTGCTTCTATAAGACAAAAGCCCTACCGTACTGCTTCTAGAGAGAGGGAGTTTCTTGAAGAAGAAATTGGTCGCATGCTAGAAGAAAGTGTTATACAACCCTCTGATAGTCTATGGGTCTCACCTATAGTCTTGATTAAACAAAAGGTCAAAACTAACTTTTGTATCACCTATTGTTGATTGAATGCTTTAACTCAGAAGGATAGTTATTCTTTACCTTATATAGATAACCTTCTCAATACCCTTTTCCATTCTGCCTAGTATACCTCTCTTGATCTTGCCAATGGTTACTAGCAGATTGAGATACACCCCAATGACAAGGAAAAAACTACCTTCACTTTCCAGTATAGTATATATAAATTCAATATTATGCCATTCGGTCTCACCAACACCCCTGCAACTTTTTAAAAGCTCATGAACACTTTTTTGAGAGATATTAATAGCAAGTTTGTCATTGTATATCTGGACGATATTAATATCTTTTCTTCAAGCTTCAACAACCACCTTCAACACTTGAGAGGTCTTTTAGCATCTTAAAAGTGCAGATCTATGGTTGATTCCTTGCAAGTGTCACTTCACCAAGAGAGAACTTAAATTTTTAGGGTATGTCATTGGTTCTGAAGGTATCTCAACTAATCCGAAAAAGGTTGAGACCATTAAGAACTTTCTAGTTTCAAGAAACCTCCATCAGTTATGAGGGTTCTTAGGTCTTGTGTCCTATTATAGAAGGTTCATCTTGAATTTTTTACAAATTGCCGCCCCTCTTAATCTTCTTTTAAAGAAGAATTCTAAATACATCTGGATAACCAAGCAAATGAAGCCTTCCAGATATTGAAAGACTGACTCATGTCTGCTTCTATTTTAGCATATCCAGATTTTTTCTTCTCTTTACTGATGCTTCAGAATCAGCTCTCGAAGCCATACTCTCTTAAAAAGACAATCAAGGCAGAGAGAGAGTTATCTACTATGCCAGCAGGACTATGACTAGCACTAAAAGAAATTATTCTGTTACTAAACAGAAATGTCTAGCCATTGTCTAGTCTGTTTCTTATTTTCACCAATATCTCCACATGACCCACTTTCTTCTTATTACTGACCATTCTACACTTAAGTCCTTGCTGAAGAATAAACTTCCTCAAGGAAGACTTGCCTATTGGATTCTTGCTCTTCAAAAGTATTGCATTATGGTTGTTCACCATGCTGGAAAACAATACTCAAATGCTGATAGTCTTTTATGTCTTGCTGAAATTCTAGACCAACCCACTTAATTTTGACTAATTAATATCATTCTCCTGTCCTTAATCTTTTTAATTTTTCTCTATTGTTTCTTTTCTATACACTCAACTTTCTTTAGTTTATATATCACTATAGAACCCCAAACTTATCAAATATTTATTTACTACCTTAGTGATCTCACTTTATCTAAATTAAACTTACTTAA